GGGGGGGGCTAGGCGCAATTTTCAGATAACATTTTTATTGAAAGCACTATAAAGCTGCTCGAATTTTTTTTCACCCATAAAAAAGGAGATTATCTGTGTTCCAAAAATTTAAATGTTCAATGTTGCAGTTTGCTGTTTTTGTTTTCATGAAGAATGTTATTTATTAAAAGCTTCAACACCATTTTTAATAAACAACGTGCAAATCGAAATTAAATTTCTGCAATTTGTTTTGAGTAAATGTTAAAGGTTATTGAAAGATTCTCAGAGCCACATTGCTGAGTAGTTGCTTACAAACTATTTGTACCATAAACTCAAAATCTTGCCCTACAGTAGAGATCACATCGCTATCGTATAACTAGATTGAGATCCTCACTAAATTCACACTACTTCCGTCCTATGAGAGTCCCATCTAAACGCTCTTTTTTCGCGGATATTAGCAACTTTTATGGATGCTTTCTCCTCTATGAACATTCCATCGTTATGAATCGTGGGGGTCGTGGATGTTATACGAACTTATACGATGATTTGTTGTAAGCTTAAAAGATTTTCTTCCTAGAACTAACGCATACCTTTTCTCGAGATTTCGTAATCTATTGCACTGCAATGGATGACAGAAGGAAAATGGCGAGTAGCTATCGTTATTGACTACCATAGTCCAGCCCTTAAAAAAAGATTGTTAAAGTAACGCAACCACCTTTGCATATGAATTACATGGTGTTCCATTGCGTCCATAGCTTGATCTAAAGTTGTGAACAGCGATCCACGGTAATGCGACATCATCAGGAGGCTGCGCATTTTTGCCTTCAAAAACTATGTAACTGCGCAGGAATTTCACAAACAATTTAATTTCAAGAAAACAACCTCATAGTGTACTGTGAGTAAAAAATTACACCACAGCCAAGCGCTAACAAGTATGCCCACACACGTCGGTTCTTTAAGTCGCAGCAGTGGCTGCTTTAGAAATCCTTAAATGAGATTGAAAGTCTTATAACCTATCATACGCAAGCTGCCGTGAGTATAGACATTGAATATTTGCAAACGTTTTTGACAGTTTGGCAAATTCCTTTGAACCATGGGGAATATAGTCCATATATTGGTTCCTGCTGCTTATCTCTACTTTGGAACTAAGAATAATGTCATTAAATAGCTGGCTGAAGCATTAGCCTTCTTGTGTGTCTTTAGAGGAAAAAGCCAGGTTTATCAATAAGGTCAAGCGTGGTGTTGTGTCACAACGATCCCATTATGCCCCCCTCATCTTCGACTGGATTCAACTTCTCCTTGTACAGTTTTCAAAATCCATAAAATTGGGGTAGAAAAAGTATGATTAAGTTTATAGCAGACACATTTCTTTTTGCCTGATTTCAATTATTCGATTTCTTCCAAATTATGCAGAACATAAATATGTACACTTCTCTGCCATAACAGCATGAGCAAATTGCCATACAAACATTCAGACAAGTATGCATGCGATAGTGATTTTCGTAAAAACAGAATAAAGAACAAGATTGGATTTCTATGGTAAATACAGATTCAAAATGTGCTGTTGGCGCAGAAACTTCATGTTGGAGCGATCTGCTAAGAACCGCAAAAATCCCAAAAATAAGACTTAAATGAATGCACCTTACTTCTCTTTGTTTGGGAAAATTCGCAAAAATTTACTACATCGAAGAAGGGAGATGCTTTGAGGTACCTAGCTAGTTGTCTTACTACCTTTTGGATAGAGCCTTCATTAGTATTATTCAAACTGTTTTCTATGGACTGTTAATTTCACCAATACTTCACCCTTCCGCGACCCCCCTTCCCCCTTACCCTCCCCTCGCCACTGCCCCGAAACAACAGTTTGACCTCTTTATAAAGCTAGCAATGTAATGTTATTTATTTTTTGTTT